ATACACGTTTATCCTGATGTCATTTGCAATATTTCTCATTCAGAGCCTGGAGAGCACTCTGTGAATCACAGAAAATGACCCCTGAGCCTTGATTCAATAGAAATTCGGTGGCCGTGAGTATTCCTGCCAACTCAGTTTGCGTAGTGCTAGCCCAGTCATGAACCCTCCTACAATCCTGGTGCTGCAAAATACTGCTCTACTCCCAGACTGCAAGGATCCGTCAGTGTAGCATTCATATGCATTGGGCAGAGTTTCTGGATGCTCATTTATAATTACAAGTGCATACTGATTAAGTATAGCAGGGGGGACACTGTCTTTTTTGGGGGCAGTCGTATAATATACACTTAGGTCCGACATTTTCCACGGTGGTACAGAACGTCCATGTAGGGTCTTAGTTATGGGTATGTTCAGCTGAGCTAAGTGTTTATACGTTACTTGTACCCATGGATTTGAGAATGAATCGGTGTTGTCATTCAAAGTTAGCTCTTCTATTCTGTGTTTTAGTTGTCTTTGGAACTCTGTACAATGGAGGGGTTCTCTAATTGATTTGACACTAAATGTGGCATTTATGTATAATATTCTTTCATAAAGAGAAGGTAAATCAAGTTCTGTTCTCATATTCACAATCCTTGTTATTCTAGGGGCACCAAGGATTATCCTCATGGCTTCATTTTGTACACTTTCTAAACTAGTCAACTCTGATTCCTTGAACAATACCAGGAGCAATGCATGGTAATCTATGACCGACCTTATGTATGACAAGTAAAAGAGTCTCGCAATATTGACACTTGTCTTTGCCGACAAGTGTCCTAAGTGGCATCAGCCGCTCCCATAGCCTTTTCTTCAGGTTTCTGATGAATTCTGAATCATTAACAATCACCCCGAGGTATCTGTATTGGTGGCAGAGATCTAGCTCAACGTCATTAATATGAAACCTTGGCAGAGGCATTGTTTTGGGTTAAGTGCCTTATTTTTTTTCAGTTGAGATTATTAAGCCACACTCAGTAGCCCTTGCAGAAAGTATATCAAGAATCTCTTGCATTCTCTCCTCAGATGAGGATTTAATGCTAATGTCATCGGCATAGCAAATAATGGAGTCATTGCCTGCAAGTGGTATATCGCCCAGTAATCGATGCATTAGAATATTAAATAGCATGGGACTAAGTACGCCTCCCTGAGGTGTGCCGAGTTCAAATACTTTTGTATGAGTACTCTTAATGCCCCTGAAGAGAACCTGAGCCGATCGATTTGATAGATACATTTGAATCCATGTTAAGAGTTTTCCCTGAATACCAAAGCTAGCTAGTTGCTCAAGGATAATTTCCTTGTTTGCAATATCAAAGGCAGATTTAAGATCATGGAATACGGTTTGCATGCCTGGGTTTGAGTTTGTTAAGTATTCTACAAAGCAGTTCAGAATTATTCTCTCAAGTACTTTGCACAGACAGGAGGTCAGGGAAATGGGTCTGTATTTGTCAGTATTGGGTTTGGGTATAGGAATGATTAAGCCTTTAGTCCAGGAGCTTGGGAGGATTCCTTGTGATAGGCTGAGTCTGTACAGGTGTAAAAGTGGGTTGCCTGGCACCTGAGCAATGTGGCGAAGGACGCTGTAAGTAATGCCGTCCTCGCCAGGGGCAGTTGCCTTACCTTCCGAAGGGCATTGCGCAGTTCCCACTCGGTTATTTCGACAAAGCCGGTGGGGTCAATAGCAGCACAGGCTATTGCTTTATTAAAATTTCTATCTATTTCCGACTTGTTGAGCTGATTTTTTATCCCTTGTGGAAGTGAGTTTAACTGAGAATTTCCAGCCCACTGCTCTAGCAGTGTGTTAGCCTGTTCTTGTGGATTGTGGAACTGCGGTGTTGTGGGAGCTTTACCTGTCAGCCTATTAATTTTTCTCCATACGTCAGCCACAGAAGTTTGACTATTGATACTTTGCAAGAATTGTTCCCTGTGTTTACTACGAATCTGAGTTTTTAATTCTCTGAATTCCTTGTTAGCTTTCAGAAACTGCAAATTGTCTGATGTCTCATTATCTTTATAACAATTAGCAAGCTCCTGAACCCGTTGATGTTCCTTGGCCTATGTGTTATAGTAGTCAGTGACAACTTTGATTAGATCCTGAGAAAAATTTCAACAATTGTTACTTCATAAGTGTTATACCAGTCATAGACCCGTGCCTTGAAGTGATGCCCCAGGCCAGGTGGGATGATTATTCTGAGCCAATGTAATTTAGGGGCTGAGTTGCTGTCTACAGTATAGTCTGTTCGTATTGCAAAGTGGTCACTAACTCTCGCACCAGTGAAGTACAGACATTACCATGAACTAAATTCTTGCCAAATACATAGTCTAACCTGCCACCTCCCAAATGTGTCTCTGTTTCTGTGTCATATACTGTTAGTAATCTACTACTGATAAAATGTTTGGATTCTTCCCCATAACTATTACGTTGGTTGTCTCCAAAGTGTGGATGCCTTGCATTGAGGTCGCCCATACATAACGTGCTTTGGTTGTGAAAATTGGGGAGAGAACTAGCCAGAAATATGGAGCATTTGGCCTATACATTATAGTCAAAAATACCCAGTGGCAGTCTGAATTTTTAAATGATGAAAATGAATATCAGTGTTCTCGGATTTTTAACTAATTTATGTGGCAGTGTTACCTTCACATATGTCAACAATCCAGTCATGGCTGTATTATGAATAATATCCCTGAATTGCAGGTGCTATCTTCATCTTAGCGGCAGCAGCAAAAGGTTCTTGCACGCAAATAACATCAGTATTATATTTACGGATATAAAACTCTAGGTCATTCAGCCTAGGCTTTATACTACGCATATTCCATGATATGAATTTAATTGTGCGTTTAACCATATGTGAATGGTGCTCTATTAGGCAATCTGTACCTCATGCTGAAATATCCTCTAATATTACGAATTATAGATTGACATAAGAAACATATAGCTTTATGATTGTGGATTTCATTACAGATGGTAATCTTAAACTTAAAAGTACTTTGAACCATTTCAAACATTTGGTCTTAGCTTTGTTCCACTTCTCAGCACAGTCCCTTCGGTTGCTGTGCCAGATGCACCTGGGTGTCTGGTTGCGTCACTGGACTCGATGTCACAGAGATCTTGGTATTGTTCGTGGCGGCTGTCATCGCTGACACGCCCACTCTGGTTATCAGCACTGACGGTCTGACATGTCCTGTCTCAGCGTCGTTATTTCATTAATTAAGTTATTGTTTTGTTCTTTCAGAGCTTTCAGTTCCTTTTAAAATTCAAGCACATTTACGTCGCCTTGGACAGCTGGCGTGACGTCACTTCTGTCACATGGTTGTGCGGGGGATTCCCCCGCCTGGCCTGCGGTCATCCCTGCCTGAGGGTGAGGGACGGATGCCGTGGCTGGCTCCCGGGGAGGGAGGGGGGCGTGGTCTTTAATTCAGAGAGTGTGGCAGCTTTGAGGCCCGAGCTACCCTCTGTGAGGATCAGCATCACCATGTTCACCTCCTCCTTCAGTTGCGCAACCGTGTCGCGTAGTTCGGCGATCTTTGCACCCCCACTCGCCGGCAGCCGCGGGAAATCTCTGCGGCTGGTGACGTCACACAGGGCACGGTCTGGCGCTTCCCCGGCACCCTGGCTGCGGGATGGGTTGGGAGGGCCGCGCTAGTCACTCGCGGTCGGTGCTAGGACCACAGGGAGGGAGGGGCCAGGGCAGGGAGGCCCGTGCACCTCCAGTGCCAGGCAGTCACACCTGTCATCCCACACCTGAAGCATGATGGGACAAAAGTTGGTGTTTCTGCAGTACTCTCTTTTTCTGCTGCACTGCGAGGACACTCGTTGGCAGTATGTTGTTCTCCACATGCTACAGCGCGCCTTGTCATTGCAGTATTTAGCTACATGGCCACTTCCCATGCAGTTGTAGCAGATGACAGGGGATGCCCTCCACAGCCTCACGTGGCTGGCGGGCATGTACTCCCCAAGGAAGTGGTATGTACTTGGAGGTGGTTGCTCTCCTTTCCATATGATGCGAATACGGTTTAGTTGTTTCCTATCTGTGTGCACTCTTATGGCCTTATGAACTCCGTCGAGTGCATACGCATGTTCAAGACCAAAATCCTTGTTGTAGTGGGTCACAAGATATTTGTCATATTTTTGTTGTTTCCTGGGGTCACCACAAAGTTTGAAGGTAATACCTCCAATTGATCCTTCAATAAGGTCGTCAACATAATTTTGCTGAGAGCGCAAGACATACACATACGGTAAGGAGAGAGTGTCTCCTCGCACAAGGTTGAGGGGGGTACCCCCCCGGGCGCGTGAGTCGTTGCCGAGATTCTTTAGCCATTTTATTTTATCAGATTTCGTAGTGCCTTCAGGGAAGGCGAGGCGAACACAGTCCTTTATCGGTGCCAGTGGTGTCCTACCAGCACTGTTGAGCTTTCGTTTTTTCTTAGTTTTCGACTTCACTAATGTGAAGCCGTTGCTTCCTCCGTCATCGTCGCTCACGTCAGGATCATTTTGACTACCCGCCCGTTGAGTGGTCATAGATTCTGGGGGGCTATCCACTGAACTACAGACTGAAGCGCATTCTTCAGCCGCGGGAGGGAAGGGACAGCTATCCACCGAGTCCTCCCCCTCAGTGTTTACTTTGTGGTTTCCCCCCACCGTGGGGGTGACCGCGTGACCGCCGCGCCTGGCCCGCCCGGCTCGCCCGCCTCGTGGCAGGTGCTATATAGCGCTCGGGATAACGGGGCACTCAGTTCTAACGGTTACCACGGCACTACTTGGCATTCGGTAGAGGAATTATTTCAAATTTCTTTACAAACATAACTATTATCACAGTATTACTCTCATGTCACTGAAGTAAGTGCACTCAGATATACGTATATATACTGATGTGCATATAAAAACATAAAATTTTGTACAAATCCAAACCCAGACAGGGAGATCTTTGTTTTTAGTTTTTTTCTTACCTTTTTTAACTCACGTATTTTCTCTTTTCTGCAGGAGTATGAGGGCGGCTTTCGGGACCTGGGTGGCAGCCCTGCTCATTGGTAAGTTGAAAATCTTGCCATCATTCATAGTATATTTCAAACGGAACTAAAACATTTATTTTGAAAGTTTCGTCAAAGCTATTCTGATCTAAAACTCTTCTTGTCATTTAAAGTTAGAATTGACAAGAAAAATGTGTAAAACATAGGCATAGATATTGTACTATGTGCCTAATTCACATGTAAAAAACAAACAACATGTACTAAATATTGTACTAAATGCTTCATTTACCTACCACGTAAAAATGCCATACTGTACCAGATATTATATTAAATGCCTGATTTACCGCCACAGGGTTAGCCAGTGGACAGCCACAGATAACGGGCAGGTCTCCCTACTGGATGGGCCATGCGGGAGGCGTCACTCTTTCTGTCTTTGGATCTGGTAAGTAGTCGCACTAATATGAGACTCTTATGTTTAGTATTAGTTGGCTCATGGCTGGGAGCACATTCAGAGGAAGATTAAGTGAATGAGACAGAGAGAGAAAAAACACTATATTCTTCCTTCATTACCTCTAGGCTTCAGCGAAGACATGTTCAGCCAGTTCGACCCCACGCTTGGCAACATCGTGAAGCTTGTGAACGAAGCCGAAACCATAGACTGCGAGGTCATCAACTATCTTTCCAATACGAATAAAGTCGTCTGCAATACAGGGTAATGCATTTCAAATAATCATGCTTATATAGTCAGGATAAATGATGTCCATATGAGCATACATATATATACACACACAAGTAATAACCATAAAAAATGTTACATATTATATATATATAAGCATATATGTATGTGTATGTATATGTATATGTATATGTATATATATATATACATACACACACAAATATATATATATATATATATATATATATATATATATATATTTCTCAATAAATATACTCAAACACACACAAACACATACACACATACTTGCATTTATGTACGTGTGCATGTATACTGCATATGAGTATATATATAGATATGTACATGGATGAATGTTTCATTAATATATGCAAAAATAATTAGTAAACACACAGCTATACATACATACACGCATACTTACACATACATATATACTTACCTACTTCTAACGTGTATATACGTACATATATGCGTACATGAATACATAAATACAATCATACCTTTACACACATACATACATATATACATTTATACATAAATATATACATATGTAAATATACACATACATACATACACACATTCAGGCATGAATTTAGATCAAGACAAACTCACAGACCTTACCAAGACAGCTTTCGCGAAGAGAAGAAAATTAGTATAAAACGACCGGCTCTTTCCCTTGCAGACCGAGAACCAACACGGCCGGATCCGGAGTCTACTATATCCAAGTATTTTCCGACGGCGTGCAGGCGACCGGGACTCAGACGGTAGAGGTGAGTAGATGTGGTGTTGATTTGCTGGTGTCACTTGCGAAAAATGCTGTTGCTATTCTGTTTGTCTGACTGTCTGTCTTTCTCTCCCCCTCCTGCTACTTCTCACTTTCTTTCTATCTGCCCTGCTCTCTCTGTCTCCCTCTATCTCTTTCAATCTGTCTCTCTCTCTTTCTCTCAGTCTTTCTGTGACTCCCTTTATTGATAATACCGCTGTTCATTGTGTGATATCCACTCCCATTCAGCGAGAGCAAGTGTTATGCAGACAGTAGGTACTGATTTGGCAGATGTGTGCTGAAACTTTGTACACCTGTCTTAGCAAACAGATCGATATTGTATCATTTCTTTCGCGATCCCCATCTCCCCCCCCCCCCCCCCACTCTCTCTCTCGGTAACTGCCCTCCCTCCTTTCTGTGCGTTTGTGTTCGTTTGTATGTATGTGTACAATGGCATGCATACACTAATATTACCACCCCCATTTCTCTCTTTCTCTCTCAGTACGCTGATTGGGTGGCACCCAAGATCGACAGCGTCACTCCGAGATGGGCGCTGGGTCGCACAGTGGTTGAGTTTTACGGTTGGATGCAGTCAACCAAGTACCGAGGCGTTGATCCTGCAGATCCTTTGGAAACTGGAAGTGACTCTGGGGTCATTCTCACAAAGTAAGCAATTTCATTTATTCATTTATACAACCATTATTAAGAAGGAAAATGGTTAAAGATGCTGCATGTTTTTTTCTGATGATTACCGTCGTCTAATTATGTTTTGTTGCTCAAATGACACCTTTTTATCACCATTATTAATACCGTTATTATCATTATCATTTTACTGTTATCCTCACTATTACTATTATAATTATTATTAATGATTATCATAATTATTAATTTATCTCATTTATATACTATCATTATCATTGATATGGTATTAATGTATTTAACATATTGCACTAGAGACTAAAACGGTTCTAAGTATACCAGCCAATAGCGAATAATTCCCTTTTACAAGAATGTTGTTTTATAAGCTCCACTTAACTACATTGGTAAGGGTGATAGTTCCAATGAAATTGGAACTATCATCGTGTGTATGAATTTCCTATGCTGAGGTCTCCTGACTATTTTCAGGGTGTACATGGGCGGCCTGGATTGTGACATGGTGAATGAAACCAGCGGGGAACTGTACCAACTGGAATCGCGAAGCCTCAGATGTCAGGTAACCAGTAAGTACATCGGACCCATGAACGGAACCACCTACGTGACTGAACGCGGTGTCTCAGTCGGCCGGAAATGGGGAATTTACGTCGATTCTCAGGACAGACTGTTCCAGCACCACACCTACGCAGGTAAACATGATGGCTCTGTAGCGACACTTGATAAGAAACCGACTTGCTTTGTACATAGAATATAGTGATTAGGCTTTTAAGCGATCCAACAGGCAAAATCCAGTCGTAACACTTACAGTACCACTAGAATATTTGGTTTTCCTTGAGATAAACTTGTTATCACAGATGAATACTAAATTGCATGTCATCAGTGCTGTACGACCTGATTCATGATCACAGAATCCAACAGAAAACTTGAGATAGGAAGAATAATTTCAACAAGTATCACATGAAGCCGCAACGTGACACAATACTCTTTTCTGCCACAGGAGTTGACAGCGTGAGTCCCAGCAGCGGATCCACGCAGGGAAACACTCTGTTGACTGTCACGGGTGTTGGCTTTGACCCTTACCCCGGCAAGACTGAGGTAAGCACTGGCGCTCATCCTTGCCCTTTGAAATGCCTGCTTTTTTAATGAAACCTCGTCTTCGGTAAGTTGTCCACGTTTAAAACATTAACAATTAATGGATTACTATTACAGGTGTGGGTTGGAGGAGCCGAGTGTGTGATCCAGGATGTGCAAGACGAGACTCTCACCTGCTTAACGCCATCGCAAGACGAGACTAGGCCTGCACCAGGTAAAAAACAAGCTATTAAGACCAGGTTTATGTCCCCCACCCCTTCTTTATCCTCATATATGTGTCTGTGTGTGCGTTAAAGCAAACATGTAACATATTCATAGACAAACAGATGGCTGCAGATGAATAAACAGATAGGTAGATTTTCACAGTCTGGCAGCGGAGACCCAATCCTCGCAACGGGCAGGGTGACAGGAAGGAGAAAAGAGAAGGGCGAGACAGGCGAACGACTAAGCGCGTGGTTTCTAGCGCACGCTCTCATCTCTGCTCATTCTCTCCATTCAGGAGAGCGTGGCATCCTGTCTGAGACGTGGAACGGCGTGTACGTCAGTAATATATTTGACGACAGCCTTTGGGACGCCCTCAACTCCAGTCACAGTGGCTACAGCTCCTCGGTGATGATGGACACGAGGATTACCGTAGATGGCACCCAGACCCTAACGGGGAAAGTTTCCGGTAAGTATCTTAAGGAATGGGCAACGGTGTTCTTGCCAAAGTGAGTGCGAAAGGTCATCATTAGTATATATTCTATAAGCATTATCATAATCCTTTCTATATGCATTATTATCATTGTTATTGTCATCGTTAATTTTATTATCATTATTATCACCATCATAAGTATCAATATTGTTATCGTTACTGCTATCATTATCATTATGACCATCATAAACAGTATTCCCATTAACATAATAATTTCCATTGTTATTATTTAAACATTACTACCATTACTATAGCTATAGCTGTCACTATTACATTACTGTAACTCTTTATACGTTTGTCACTATAACAACCATCAATGCAATCAGTCAGTTTCCCTTGTCAGTATAATTGTTCACATATACATATATTAAGAATTTTTCTTGTCCATGAAAGTTCCAAACACACTTTATACGATCAGGACTCAAATAATTTTATTCATAAATGGTTCACGTTAGGAAAAAAAAAACGAAAAAAAAACACACAGATATGCAAATATAGATAAAACACACAAGCAAACATATAATCATAGACATAATATAAACAGATGCTTTTGTGACTTGCAGGCTACCTCCACGTTGCTCATGACGGCTTGTATTCTCTGGGCACTATCGAACTGAATGGCGATTCGGCCTTCTTTATTGCCGAAAATGGTAATCCCGACAACAAGGTAATGAAAGGGTTAATGCTATTCGAATTCAGATTCATTTTATAGCTGTGGTTTAGCTGTTGTGATTATTATCATTGTGTTATCAATATCATTGTTATCATTGCAACTACTACTACTACTACTATCACAATTGTTAATTGTCGAAACCACCTTCCTCGTTCCCGCAGACTTACGTGGGTCACTGGCACCACATAACTCTCGAAGCGGACACCCCGGCTTATTTCGAGCTCCGCTATCGCACCCAAGGTAAGCGGCACGGTCTCGATTATCCAGTTTTATTCCTGAGACTCGTTTTAGTTCGGAAATAAGGTGGTACCTTTGGAGGATTTGAACATTTAAGTAGCACATACTTTTTAGCGTGATTAGTTAGCCACAAAATTGAGGAGGGCAAATGAGGATGACCCCTAAATGAGCTTTGATCTCACTCTCGACTTTGTAGCGAGCATGACCTTCCGCATCGCAATGAACGACTTCAACGCCAAGTTCACATACGACCAGACGGCCATGGGTCACGACGAGCGCCACCGTGTCAGGTTGGACCCCAAAGAACAGTTCGAAGTGCAGAGGATTAGTTACTCAGAGTCCCCAGGACAAGCTAGGATTTATCTGGCTGGACTTACCTCTGATCCTGTTGATATCACTGTGGACACAGAGGTACTTGTAAAAGCTCATCGTCATGTACTGTAGATATGAGTAACAGTTGTTTTGATTCGTTTTATGTGGTTCCCATTTTCTTTTGGCTCGATCGATACCCTTCCTATATCATTTTAAATCATGGTACTTATGCCTCCCTGCAGATTCGATCCGCGATCCTAGGCCTGACTGACCAGCTGTGCGAGACCCAGGCGGACAGCCCGACATACTTGTACCAGAACGACTTCGAAATGGGCGAGGATAATATTCCTGGACTGAGAGGATCGACCGCCGTCGATATCGCGAGCTACTGTGGAAAGTGAGTGGGCGATTTCGACTCTTAATAAAGGCAAATGTGAGATAGATGGACGGATGGGTAAAAGAAAGCGTTTATGTAATAAGAAGAAGCCCGGGTGATAGGTGTTATTTATTTCAGGAAATCCTTTTTGATGTATTCGGCCGACCCAAGACTTTACTACACCAACGAAGAGGATGAAATGGCGGACGTTAACACCTATCGCTATGTAAGGCTAAAAATTAAGACAAATATTACATGTTTTTAAAAGTAAACACTAAAATGATATTCTTAAATAGGAAAGATCATTCTTAGGAATACAACTTATCACATTCTCTCTCTCTAGATGTGTTTTGCTGTACGAGGCAACATTGAGACTACCATGAGGATACAGTTCCGCTGGAAGGACAAATATGGCAATGGCGGAAGAACTGACACACTTGTGGCTGATCACGGTCTTGCTGCCACTGCTGACACGTAGGTTTTTATGAATTCACACACACACACGCACACCAGCACATATTCACAGTCATATATGTATGCACGTATTCACATTTACATTACATATGCACACATACATTCATACTTGAATACATGTCATTTCCAAACAATATGATGGAATTTATTTTCAAGGGGAAATAAGCCTTTACAAACGAATGTATAGTTATATTTGCCCGATACCTCAAACCCATTGTTTATTTGTTTGTTTCTCCTCTGTCACGTGACTCCTCTCACCCAGGTGGACTTACGGCTGCGTCGACTTGCTTGCCCTCGTGGACAATTCGTGGCTGAACGATCACCGTACTGCAGGAATGAAGCTGAAAGTCAGACACGTCCTGGCGCCGCGTCGAGCAACTTACAGAGATAGCGTATACGTCGATACCTTCGCCTTTTCCACAGAAGACATTGCCGGTGAGATGTAGTTAGATATTTCCGTCGATTTACATTTCACGGCTGTGACAAAGGAACGATCTCGGATATCAAGAATTTGACTGTTACCTCGTTAGTCCGAAAGGTAGAACACCATTTTAATATGCATTACTATATTCACAGTGGTCCAGACCCGACCATCCGCCCTGAAGAACGCAGGAATCTTAGTGGACGACGTGGTCGTAACAGCAGTGGAAAATGAAAATGCTTTCGACGTGGAGATCCAGACCGGAAACTGCGCTGGAGATTTCCCTCTACTTGGCGTGACGCAGACCATGGGTGATCATTCGCTTTCACTGCTATAGGGGTTTTCTTTGGGCCTCGTACTAGAGTATTTTCTGGCCAGGACTATTAATCTGAGATATTATATCTACGTATCTGTATATTCACAGCTTTTTTATACACACACAACCACACTATAAGTGTTTTCACAAGTACAAGACAGATCCTACCAGAACTTATTCATGTGCTCTGAGTTGTCCCTCCTGAAGTTTCGTGAAGCTTCCCCTCTGATTCCCCAATCTGTGAAACATTTCTCTACCTCACCAGTCATCTTCCGTTCGACTTACAGGCGATGCTTCGTGGATAACTGATCTTGCCAGCGCCGCCAGCTACACCTTCAGCGTGGGCGAGGAGGAGGTGAACGTGAGCAGGACTTTTGTGGCGACTCATCCCGTCACCGGAACTTGGTCGCTCAATATCGAAGGCGTCACTGTCAAAGGTTCATCTCAAACACTAAGTTTGGCTACTAAGTTCTGGGGATAAAGTGTTTTACCATGATCACGTTTACTGTAACAGCTGATACTACTACTTTTCTAAGCAATGATTCCATTATCTTTATCATACAAATGAGTAATCATTTTTTATAATGACCATAGTTATTATCCCACTGAAAATTACTCGTTATCATCTAGACAATCAAAAACATACTTAATTAATCAGTTGTATTAGTTAAAGTAAGTCCAATAATGTCAATGTAAACAAATAATTTCAGATATAGAAACTAGAAATTTGTAATTGCGGTGTTTCCACATTATTGCATATCTTCCTCAGAATTATGTGATTTTGATGAAGATATAGAATCTGATTCCACAGAACTTGGATAAATATAAAACATCAAAGTGCATCACCTGCTACGTCTCATTCACACCTCGTTTACATCGATCACACTTTCCTACTTTTGTTATCCCCCCCCCTCCCCAGACATCCTCTTCGACGTGGAAGACTGGGCTCTGGATGAGATGATCGAGGCCGCCCTTGGAACCAGCGGCATGGCAGTCTCTCGCAGCGGAAGTTGCACCTTATATACTTGGCACATAGAGTGGAAGGAGAATCCAGGGCGAAAGGAACTGTCTTCCATAGACATTTCAGGACTGACGTTCGATGGGTGAGTCACTTGTCCATGGCGTCCAGATGTTAATTTCCACCCTCTGGTGTAATACTCGTTAAAAAAAGGAAAATATAAGAAATACTCTACGGGCAGATTCGACGGTTTCATTATCGTAACTTTTTCACTTTCTTTTTCGTCAGCGAGAAAATCAACATAAATGTAGGCAGGAGCAGAGAAGGCAAGTTGTGGCACGATCCTATCGAGGGAGACTTCCTCACCGTCAGGCACGAAGAACCTCAGGTGAGTGCCCTGCTCTTTTTGTTTTCTTTTACTCACTTCTGTAGCTGTCTTTCCACTCCTTCTCTTCCACTTTCTCCTTCTCTCCCTCTCTCCATTTATCTATTTATACAGTCCTCCTCCCTCCCCCTCCCCCTCCCCATCCCTCTCTCCCTTTTTCTTTCTTCTTCCCTCCCTTTCTTCCCCTTCGAACATTTGTACACAAACTTCCCTTCAAGCGATTCTTGAGCCGTTACTCTCCTTGCTTGCGTCACAGGTGTTCGTGAGGGTGAATGGCTACTCTGCTGCTTGCACTGGCGCTTGTGCATTCGCGTTCGACGACTCAGGAGTCCCGAGCCTCTCTTCTGTCGCTGGATCTCCAGGTAAGAGATGGAAACCTTTAGAAAGTAAACTGCAATGTAAAATTTGGGGATTTATGCAGTTGATTTGCAATTTCCTTTTCGGTGGTTCTCCAGACTGAATATATATAAAGATTTTGAGCTGTTTGACCACTTGTTACACAGCATTAGCAGTCTAGTGAATGTCCATGTGTCTTCCAGATGCATCGGGCAGCCATACCCTGACCATTGTGGGTACAGGATTTAGCAGCTCCGACAACAACGACTACAGCGTAACCGTAGGAGGATCTGTGTGCAGTGTATCTGCCGTCACCACCACACAGGTACGTACTTTGTAGCATCGTAGCTTCGTGGTATTCATAGTTGCTGGGAATGCTTCCTAGGTATAGTTTTTTCTAGGTATAGTAATTGTCATTTCCTTCTTTCCAGGTGACCTGCACAGTCGCTTACCTGCCCGCCGGCACCTTCCCCGTCGCCGTCAGCACGCAACCTGTCGGAAGCGCACTGCAGCCCGACCCGCCCCTCTCCTACGCCGTCACCGTCTCCGTCACGTCCGTGACCCCTGCCACCGGAGGGACGGGCGGCGGGTACTCCGTGGTCGTGGCCGGCACCGGCTTCCCCGCAGACCTGGCCGGGTGGGAGGGAAGCTCCGTGGCTCTCGGCCTCAAGGACTGCACCGTCACCGACGCCGACGCTGCCTCGGTCACGTGCACCGCGTCGGCCGGGGTACGTCGAAGAGAGGGTTCTTAAGCAGTAATGAAAACAAATATGAAAATAATGATAAAGATTATGATTATCAGAGTAATGCAAATGACAGTATATTAACGATATATATATATATATATATATATATATATATATATATATATATACTAGATCACCTAAGATTCATCGTGGGAACACGACAACAATCCATCAAACCTGAACTTTTCAATTTCCTTCAGACCGGAGTTGTCGAGGTTTCGATCACCGTCGGGGGTACATCAGCCTCTCTGTCGTCAGCTTTCACGTATGATGCGTCGCTGTCAGCCATTCTAACCAGTGTCAGCCCGACCACATCATCTGTGCTGGGTTAGTAATTCAAGAAGTAAATACACACGCAAACATGCACACATACATACATATACACATATATAATTATATGTACTGTGTATATTTCACTTACATGTGCCTCTTTCCAGGTGGAGAGCTCCTAACGATCACCGGCTCAGACTTTGGCTCTGGAACCGACGGATATGTCATGGTAAGCTGTTACTCTCCTAACCATCAGCAAATCACGCTGTAGTTGTAAGCTGACAAATATATAATCTAAATTAATATCCCTACATTTATACTGCAAAACTGTTGCTCCTTTTCTTAGGTAATATTTTTTTTCGGCAGGTGGGAGAGGAAATGTGCGAGCCAAGCACTTGGGCCGCTGCTTCCATTACCTGCACGCTGCCGCCTCTGTCCCCTGGCGTTCACCCTGTCACAGTCTACACCGGCAGCAGGGGCTTTGCTAGGTCAGGGATGCCTAAGAATAATAGACTTGTGCCAAATTTTAAATCATGATTCAAATAGTCTGTTCAAAGTTTTCCAGTTTGTAAATCCATTATACAGTAATAAAGATGATATTATCTTATCTACTCCCTCTTGAGTCTTACTTAATGTGACTTTGTGACGTTCATAGCGGGTCGGCTTCCGTCACCTACACGCTGAAGGTGACGTCCTATTCTTCCGCCACTGGCTCCGTCAAGGGCGGAACGATTATGGTCATCAGAGGCGAAGGTTTCGGCTCGAACTGCTCCTTCCTGCAGGTCGACCTCGGGGACGGCGTCATGTGCGACGTCACAGAGTGTTCAGACACCGAAGTGACCTGCACGGTGATGGTGATGCCCCGAACTCACGTCGTCAAGAACAACGGCTCAAACACAGGTGAGAGGCTTCAGTGCAGAGAGAGAAAAAAAATCCAGTATTTTATTAACCATGACTTCTATCAGCGATGTGCAAAGATGAGACAGAAACTCTTTTTTTTCTTTTAATCGTAACAGTAAATCTTTCTCGTCAGTACATGGCCCTGGTTATGCTTGGAATCCCAAGCTGGTAGTCGTCAGGGAGGGAGACAGCGTCAAATGGGAGTGGACCAAGAATGACCCACTGTCCCAGCTGATGTACAATGTATTCCAGACCAGCTCAGGAGCTGCTTATGAATATGATGGCAGTGGCTTTAATTCCGGCTCTCCCACATCTGCTGGTGGGTTTTTGGATTTATTCGCTGGCTTGCCGTGTCAATCAAGATTTTTGGTCTATGTATATATGTGTGTGTGTGTGTATGTATGTGTATATATGTATATATATATTGTGTATGTGTATGCGTGTGCATGCATATGTGCGAATGTATATATATGTACACACACATATATGTAAATATGCACGTGTTTATGTGTGTGTGTTTAAGTGTATGTATCCATACATAAATACACACAAATATACCCAAGCATCTAAAATTTTACTCGAGATTAACATGCTTGACCTCAATCACTCTCCTACAGGTTCCTACATCGTGGCCTTCCCCCATCAGGGAACATACTTCTACGCCGGCACGCCTATCGCGAACAACGTTGTGCTCTCAGGAAGGGTTGAAGTCCTAAAACCCGCACAGAAGGCGTACAAGGTTATGCTTTCTCTTGGGGGCATCGAGGCCGAGTTTGTTCCAGATGGAGCGGGTACGTCAAGGCCTTTAGTGGGGCAATATCTGCTAGCTAAACAGCAAACAGGAAAACCGCACTCTATTGCATTTCCATGTACATGTTTTTGTGCAAAATCTCGACGAAACACGTTATTCATAGTGGTTACAAACGATACTGATACCATCTATACTGCGTACAGTGCGTTCCACAGTACATCTTTACGGCTGTTTATGAATTGCGAATCTAGATGATAACAAACAACTTCCTCGACAGCTGTCTCCGTCTCCGTGGACGGCTGCGCCCCCATCCTAGAGGCCGCCATCGCCGACTGCAACTCCACCGCCCCCGACGCGCCCGACGCCGACGCTCTGTACTTCATCACCGACATGTGTCTCACGCCCTCCGTCACGGGCGTCTCCGCCAGTTCCACCCAGAACGTCCCTGGCCTCAGGTGCTTTCATCCTCTGTCCTTGGGGAATTCTTCACTTAGTATATTTTCTGTAAGATGTCAGATGTTGAAACAAAAACAATTTGCAAAATAATTATTCAAGAGAGACATGCTTTAAGCCCCCCCCCCCCCACACACACACATACACCGCCTCCATACCTTTATGAATACCTTTTGAAACCTCCCTCTTCCCCCCTCCCTCCCCAGTGGCCTCCAGGTGGCGGGCGGTGCCACTCTGACCCTCACTGGCTCCGGCCTCGGGGGTTCGACGTGCCAGACTCAGGTGTGGGTTGGGGACTCCTCATGCACTGTCACGGCCTCCTCGGACACCTCTGTGACCTGTGACCTCGACGACTACGACTCCATGGTCTCCCTGCGGCCCTTCCCTCTGCTGGCCAATGTGATCAACAGGTGAGTAACCATTACGGAACCCAAATGGATACTGCCCTCCTCCCCCATACACGGTCGCCTGTAGAAAAAGGAATTAAGTCACCTGCATCAGGAAAATTGTCATAGCGACATGATTATGATAAACAGTACAAGATCGAATTACATAAAAACCATGATGTCAAAAGTTGATATTACGCTTTATACATATATTTATGCATTTTTCATGAGTTATTTCTTGAAGAAAATTGGATGATATTTGAAATAAACAGAATTCTTGTCAAACTATTTTTCACATTTATTCACCTGTTCACCGCATCCATAGGGGTATCGCCTACCTGGACGTACCTGACTTCAAAACAACAGGCCAAGTTAGCATAGTTCCCGTTGTGACGTCATTCAGCCCGGTGGAAGGATCCCTTAAAGGAGGCACAGTCGTCACTATCCAAGGTAAAATCTGCTTTCCCTCTCTTTATTTATCCATCTGTCTGTCTCTCCATATATATCACCCCACCCCTCCCCCTCTCATTCTCCCTTCCCCTTTCTCTCTCTCTTATTAACTGAAACAAATATGAAATTATTTTTTTGCCATGGATATCGAAGCATATTTATCATGATCAAATTATTTTTTTATGGGTGCTTTATATTCTATAAACTTATTTCCTTTTACATCACTTATGTAAACAAGACTAACCTTTTAACTCATGGAATAAAGTACAGGAATTTCACTGTGCATACGAACCGTTCTTGTCTCAGGAACGGGTCTTGAAGCCTTTGACGGCCAGGCCACAGTGCTCATGGGTTCGTATCCCTGCGTCGTGAGTGACGTCACGCCCACCGCCATCGCCTGCACCACTTCGTCGGCGCCTGCGGGAGCTGTCAATATGGTCGTCAGGATCTCTGCCTATAACGTGAGTGCACCAGTTTATATAAATACATATGTACACGTACATACATACTTATATATTTACACGCACAGAAAAACACGCACACATACACACACGCTCTCAAATACATATACTTGTCCTTTGGAAATTACATGTCAACAGTAACCTATATCACAATCTCCGTTTTTTTAAAAGGAAGCTTTTTAACTTGCAGATCGAAGCAGTTAGTAACTTGGCGAGCTCCGTCTTCACGTACTCGGCAGCAGCAACGCCCTCTGTGACCTCCGTATCCCAGTCCGGATCCTCGCTCACTATTTCCGGCTCGGCCTTCGGCACCAACTCCGCTGCAGTCTCCGTCGTGCTCACCTTTACGTCTAGTCGGCGTAGGAGAAGCATTCCTGAAGAGGTGCCCGAAGACCCAGCCCCTGTTCGCGGCCACTTCTTGGTTCCCGACGAAAGCAACGTTGAGGTCGAGCTGGATATGGACGTTGTTCGCGATAGTTACAAGCCGGTCGTTCATACCGGTCTCTTTGACGACATGGGAGCGGACAGCCATTTCTGGGGCACATTTACGAAAACAAACGCGAGAAACTTCGAGGAATCGAAGGCCCTCGGAGCGTGGAGGATCGGAGGTAGCAAACGCGTCGCAAAGGCAGAAGCGCCTGTCGCAGAGGTGGTGCGAGAGAAACGAGAAGCATCACAGACCACATACGAGTGCACGCCAACTTCAGTCACGGACACCACAATTGTCTGCGATACGAGCGATCTCCCAGCAGGCAGCTATGCTATTTCACTGTCGGTGGATGGTCTCGGCGATGCTTCCGTCGACTCTGGCGCAGGCGCCGTCACCACGGCCGCCGTTGTATCCACAATATCCCCGACGGAGGGCAGCGTCAATGGAGGCGCCCTTCTTACTATATCGGGCTCTAGTTTCACTCCAGGAGATCTGAATGTAACCGTGGACGGTCTGGAGTGCGAAATCAAGACAGAAACCATTGACACCATCACGTGCCTCACCCCAGTCCACGCAGCTGGTGTTGCGTCGGTGGCAGTTACTTCTGGAGGAGTTACAACCAACTCGCCAACTGACTTCACCTACGACTCCGCTAAGACCCCTGTCCTCTCCAGTGACCCGTGAGTTTCAAGGCACACATCCTCTCGATATCCATTTATGATAATAGTTATTATTATTGTTATTATCACTTTTAATATCATCATTATCAATACCATTACTAGTATTATAAACATTATCATTTCCTTTGGCAGGATATCCCCAATTGCTTGCTGTAATGCAAGCATTTCCTTGTCCGGAACAAACCTGAAACTAGCCACCGATGATCCGGAGGTCACAGTCGGCGGATCGGCCTGCACTGAAGTCACTGCCACTTCCACTACCGTTACTTGCAAGGTGGTTTTTCCTCGTGTTGTTTGTGTGGAAATGCAGTATCTAGAAACCATATTAAATTTACAATGATACATCATTTTCGACTTTGTGTTCATCATGATAATGTACCATGCGTACAAGCACTCATATCTAATACAAACGATATTTCTGTTGCAGAGTCCAGAACTTGCTTCAGGCACTTACGATATCGTTGTAAGAGATGTTCTCTATGGGTACTCAAACGTGATTAGTGTCACCTACAGTTTTTCAGTGGACTCAGTGAGCCCATCTACAGGTTGGTTCACTAGGCTATGTACTAATTGTACATACCTCATAAGAATCCTGATATAACGAACATAAAATTTGTACAGATGTTATAACTAATGTTCGCTACATGAAGCAGGTTTTGATTTCTTCATCCTTTAACTCAAATCTGCAGGAGGCTTTGGAGGAGTGGAGGTGACGCTGACTGGCACAGGCTTCGATCCAGCCGGCGGCTCCACAGTGACTGTATGCAATGCCACATGTGACGTCACTGCTGCCAGTTTTGGCTCCATTACCTGTGTTATCCCCCCCAGGACACCAGGTAATTAAGTCCATGCTGACTTTTAAAACAAGTGAAACATTTCATTGCATTGTACATTATTAATCTTCAAACGTTTCGTTTTGTAAATACATAATGATTTTAATCGTCTTAAAATATACTTTTTATTCAACCAGGAGAAAGCACTACTGAGTCGTGTGATGTTGTTGTGACGAACCCCGACGCTACAACCACGACGCTTGTTGACGGATTCACCTATGACTCTTCTCTGAGCTCTTCCGTCACTTCCGTTTCCCCCACAAGAGGAGGAACAGCTGGCGGCACCGAGGTTACCATCACGGGAACTGGTTTTGCGTAAGATACCTTTTTGCATGTTTAGCCTTTCATACATTTGTCAGAATAACTGCATATAACACGAAGAATAAATATGCTCTTGTTTGGTTCCCATAAAACAAAGTTTATTTCCCTTACAGAGCAACTGGGAATGTAATCACGATTGGAGGCTCAGTTTGCAACATCGTGACTGAAAGCAGCACCCAGATCACTTGCAATACTAACTCCCATGATGGACCAGGGAGGTTCCCTGTCATGGTTACTGTGCCTGGAAAAGGCATTGCTACAGTTGTGGGTATCATGTGAATTTCAGTCTGGCATGGAAGGTGTTTTAATTGTAAATATAAAAGCAACACTCAGTTTAAGTTTTAATTACGTGATGATCATAGCCAAGTTCAGACCCAGATGTCCCTTTTCCCTAATTCCAATCAATATATTCCTAGGACGAGAATGGAGAGTTCTTCTACATTGACCGCTGGAGTTCGGTGTTCACGTGGGGCGGAGACCCCGTGCCATCAGAAGGCCAGCTCGTTGTCATCGAAAACGGCCAGACTATCCTCATGGACGAGTCGACGGCCGTCCTCGGAATGCTCCTGATCAAAGGTAGGAGAGACTGGATGCCGGGATCATTATGAACCCTTTTTCTCACTGTTACTGTAATAATGTTTGTAAATCATTGTCTCACATTGCTGTATCAATATGCTCTTGTTTCCTTTATAACAACAATCCCTTGATTATGAATACTTATGTTGCACAGACTCCTGAAGATGATGTCGACAGACAGCACTTTGAATATTATTACTTAGTCTGACATCTTCCCGTTCCAGGAGGTCACGTGGTATTCGATCAGGAAGCGACATCAGAGATCATCCTGCGAGCCAAGTACATCCTGGTCGTCGAGGGCGGATCGCTGAGCATTGGGTCCGAGGAAGAGCCATTCATGGGCGATGCTGTTATCGAACTTTATGGCGATACAAAGACTATCGAGTTACCTAATTACGGAGCAAAGGTGAGGATTAGAATAAGCGTGAAAATGATTACATATATGAATGCAGTCGCTAATTTTGCATTGGAAATCAATATTTTCTATTTCATCTTCCAGGTACTGGCTGTGCGTGAAGGTACCTTAGACCTCCATGGAGCTCCCATTGACGTAACATGGACACACCTGGCAGCCACGGCAGCTCAAGGCAGCTCTACAATAACCCTCAAGCAGCCTGTTAGCTGGAAGGCAGGAGACAATATTGTCATTGCTACAACTGAGCACAGGTGAGACAACTGTCGTATTTTCGCTTTTTATACGCAGTTGTCTTTTTTTAGCAACATTCACACAGCTACTCTGTGCTTGTGCAAATGTATCAAAACCCAAAACCGGCAAAAAGTACCTATTGATTTCATTAACACCTATAGCTTTATTCAAGTCGACCAAGAAAAATATAATACATAACCTGAACAGTAAACCGAAAGGCAGCCCAGCCAGAGCCACAGCGAGAAAAGAGGCCGCAGGTTAACTGGTCCGTCATGTTGCAGGTTCATGGTCAACGAGAACGAGGAGCGCACTATCGCCTCCGTGTCAGCCGACGGCCTCACCCTCACCCTCACAGAGCCCCTCGAGTTCGAGCACATCTCCATCGAGCAGACCTTCGGCACCCACACAGTAGAGACCCGCGCTGAGGTCGGCCTCCTCACGCGTAACATCAAGATTAGAGGCAATGTTAACTCGGACTTCGTTGAAGAGATTGAGGCTTGCGATGAGGACTGGCATCCAGGTATACTTTCATTGTATAGTGCACACTACTTACACTATATACTTTACAGTACAATTGTATATTGTGTATATACAATAGATAAAATGCACACACACACATATACATATGCATTTGAGTACATATATATGTGTATATGTGTATATACATATAGATATATATTCATTTTATATTTCACACACACATGTATGAATGTTGGCTTGTATATACGTACAGGTATGTTTATACATATACACTGAATATCCGAAAACATGAACAAGATAACCGTTTATATAACATCAATCTATCAATTCGTCTGCTTCCTCCGCAGGTCAGTTCAAGGTCCAGTCTTGCTTTAACGGAAGGTTTGGCGAAGAGATCGGAGGCGCCCAGTTCGGTGCGACGGTCATGCTGTTCGGCAAGGAGGCCAACAAAGACCTTGTGCAAGGCCGCGTCGAATACGTCGAGGTCACGGAGGCTGGACAGGTAGGCCACACAACAGTCCAATCAATTTCTCTTTCGAAATTATATCGCACATCATAAACAGAGCAAACGAACGGCAAAGATAGTCAGAAATTCAACCAGTCTTTAAATTCTTTTCATAGGCCTTCCAGCTGGGTCGGTATCCCCTTCACTTCCACTTGGTCGGCAACGTCAACACCTCATACATCCGTGGTTGCGCTGTACATCGTACGTACAACCGCGCAGTGACCATCCACGCTGCCGATTACCTCACTGTGGAGAAGAACGTCGTCTACAATAACATGGGCCATGCTATCTTCACTGAGGATGGTGTGGAACAGTTCAATGTGATCCAGTACAACCTTGCTGTTTACACAAGAAGTTCGTCGTCGTTGCTGAATGTTGACGTAACTCCATCCTCCTATTGGGTATGTATTATTAGCTTACACATTCGGCTTACCGTTTCTAGTGGTTGAATGTATGCTAGTGTAGAGTGGAGAGGAAGATCACTCCTGTCGTAGACTGAATTCAGAGAAGATACGACTATATTTCATGATATTAGTCACATTCTTGTAGAGAGAGCAGGTGGAATATAAATTATTTGCATATGAAAAATACAATTTATTCACAGAGGTTTTATCCTAATGCTAGAGTGTAATGAATAGCTTTCATGAGATAAGAAAAATAATGACAATTGACTATTGTGATAACTAGATCATAACTACATCAGTGACATAAAATAGTAATAGAAATAACAAATGAAAAAGAAATATAACGAATGATAACCCTAACTGCTATTGACAATTTTAAGAAAGATGCACACTAAGCCCCTCCCTCAACCACCAGATCGTGCACCCCAACAACATCGTGCGCCACAACGCAGCCGCGGGAGGCACTCACTTCGGCTACTGGTACCGACTGGAGCGCCACCCGTCAGGTCCCTCCGCGACCAACTCTATCTGCCAGAACAACGCGCCCATTGGAGAATTCAGCAATAACACAGCGCATTCCATGGGCTGGTAGGCTGGATTCTTTTGTAGGTTATATAAAAATGTTCGGTTTATGATGCAGTGATAACAATGTTTAGGATGATAATGATTACTGGAGAATATGAAGCCTGAATGACATGTTCCTGTTATTCACTGCTTCCAGGTATGGTTTATGGGTATTCTCCATGGACGGCTACTTCCCAAGAGACAATATATGCAGGGGGAGGAATTTGGTATGTATTGGAAATGTGGCACCACTGTGAAATAATAGTAGTTACACATCTCATTGTCGATTTTGTACCGCCGTCAGCAGTTCTCGCAGTACAACTTTACAACATGAACGTGTCTCATGTCCTTGCACTGTATTCATTCTTCCCAACATTCCTCTATAGGTTGCCAAATGGGATGGATTGACCACATGGAGGAATGAACGCGGGGCAGAGATCGTGTCTGGAGGACAACTGCAGTTCCACAACTTTGTGGCTCTGGATAATGAATTTTCCGGCATCGAAATGGTGCAGATGGATGGTGGATTTGGAATGGACAACGGTCCTGGTATGTTCACATGTATAAAACCCACTAATGCACTTACAAAACTGTCTCTCAACACTATGATGATACACTTGGGTTAGAAGTAACCGTTAACACCTTTCATTTTCTATTTGCAGGAGTCTTTAACTCGGTGATCATCGGTCACTCGGCGCTCACTCCCGAAGGCTGCGGAGATGAAACTAGCGGAATCATAGCACCGAAGAAGGCCGTCTTCAGCATCGCCGACACCGAGTTCTACAACTTCGATACCAACAAGTGCACAGCACTGTCAGGGTGCTCTCAGTGCAAAGTCTTCCAGGGAGGTTATCAAGCACAGGTCAAAGGCCTCACCTTTGTAAACTCACCTAACAAGGTATGCAGTGCAATCTGTCCTCACTTTTCAAGTTGCTTGGTTGTTTGAATGTTAGGAAATATATCAAAGTGATTAGTATATTGATATATAAGGTTGCTAAATCTCACAATATTTCCGTTCAGCTGAAGTTCAAGTGGGAACATGAAACAGTGTGGATTGATGCAGATGGATCGCTGTCAGGGGCTGCTGAAAATAAAGTAGTACCAGACTCAGGTATTCTGCCCCCTGAATGTACGAAAAGTGTCTCAGCTTTCTCTCTCAATCCACAGGTAAGTTCTTCGGCCTTGCTTACTCTCTCTCTCTCTCAATTTAAATTAGAACACTATATTGAGAATCTTTACAGCATATAATATTAAAAACAAGTGTTTTAAGATGTTCGTCCATAACTCTAAAGGCCCCCGGCGCCGTCTGCACCTCCTCTATCGAGTTCGTCAGACTCACCGTAAAGGGAACCAACGTGAAGCCGCAGTCCTTCCGAGGCGGTGATCTGATCCTCTCGAACAGCTACGGCAACACCACCATCCCGTATCGCGTAAAGAGGTTGGACGGTGGCGAGGGATGGATGGGGATAGTGTCCACAAGAGGAACCTATGACTGGATGTTCGAAGATGGGGAAACTGTGAGTTTTTCTCGAATTATGGGTTTATTTGATAATTTTTGAGATCCTTTTCTATATGTCTCTTGTGGGAAAGCTGTGAAATTGTCAGGGGGATAGAATTCTTTGTGTGATAACAGTGATCCTTTATTTCACCCTGTAGCAAACGAATATCGAATATGATGCTCAGAGTAAAAATATGCTGAGTGGACAGTATTATTACGTACAACACCGATTCATGCAAACTCCAGATTACTTCAGGTATCAGATGCACTGTGATTCTCTGTGAATTGTTGTACAGGTAGATTTTTAAACTGAATACTGAAATTATAGAAACTTTTAAAGGAGACATATACATGGGTATTATGTCATGAAATAAAACTAAACACATTTTTTGTTTTTTGTCTTTCTGTAGGACAACAGGTGTGGAGAGAAACAGCTCTGACACCCTTCCAGACCCGGTTACAGGTTATCACGGGGAATACTACTGGGACGAAACCTCAAAGAAGATGACTTATATGGGTATGCAATGGATGATTTTTCGTGGGGGAGGGGAGGGGATCTAAGGGGAAATTCAAATACACTTTCTGTTTCTCTCTTTCTCTTTCTCATACACACACATACATACGCACACACACACACACACACACACTAGATATACTAGACAATACTTTAGATAATCAAAGCTGTGTACACTGTCCTTTCTTTTGCAGTTTCGTATAATAAAGAATCCAGGAAGAAACGAACCGTCTTTGATGAGCGAAATACTGGTCAGACACGAAACATTGACTTTAAAACATACGGGTAAGTTTTTTTTAGGTATGGTTAGATCACATTGGGACACATGTCTGAGTGTGTTTGTGATTTTGTGAATGTGGGTGGTGTGTGGATAACCTACCATTTTGCTACACTTTTTAAAATCAACACCCAAATAAAATAGTATTTGCAGCATTTCGAGGAGTTACCATGGGAATATCTTCATTTCATCCTCCCTTTTCATTGAGGAGCAGTGTTTTTTTTGTTGATGTTGTTCTTTGTTTTTAATTTCTGTCTGATGTCAGTGACCAATTACAAGTGACAACCCTAAGAAGAATCGTATACCCAAAGTTGCTAGCCTGTAAAATCATACAAAACATGAATTGCCCAACTAGTACCCCATAGTACCACTCCTGACCTAACACTCCTACAGGTGCAAATACGCAGGCTGTGTTGCTCCCACGCCTCCGCCCGTGCCCACTGGCCGACCGGATGTTACTTTCCTGTGGTCCGACGTTGAGACCTGGAAGGAGGTTCCTGTAGGATCGGGAGGACATCCGACGGAGGAAGAATATGGCCTGCCAGTGGAAGGCGATGAGATTATCATTCCTCCAGGTAAGTGAATGAGAGAATGAGTGAGTGAGTGAGTGGATGGCTAGGTGGGCGTGTGGATTGGTGAGTCATATAGTAAGTAAGAGTGTGAATGTATGTGTGAGTGAGACAGTGAATGCGAGATGAAGAGAGAGACTGAGAAGATAATTTGAAATGCATAAAGAAAAGTACTATGTAGAGGGAAGGAAGCATTTCTATACATTTAGCAAAACCTTCCAGAATGGTAGGTATGACTGTCTCTAGTTGGATAAAAAATTAATAATCAGAAACTTTGTACCTGTCATCGGTTACCTGATTTTTTCCCGGTCAGTCATGGGTATTGAAATTCTGAAGTGTCAATGTACATTTACAAGACGTTGGGTTTGACGAATTTACCTTCTCTTCAGGAATGTGGATCATCGTGGATACAGATACCCCAAGCCTCGGCCGTGTTTACGTTTATGGCGGTTTGGAGTTTGAAGACTCAAGAGATCATGTGTTCAGTGCAACCATCATTTTCCTGCAAGTAGGTTTTCATTCAGGTAGCTCCCTTCACCCCTCTAAATATTCTCTAGCTACCTGAAATTTACCAAGTGTAACGTCGTAAATACATTGCCATTACCCGGTTATTGCACCGAGACCACCGGTCATATCTGAACTTACCCACAGGGTGGAACTCTAGTAGCCGGATTTACCGAAGACGCCCCCTTCACGCATGAGCTCGACATCGTCCTCAGAGGCACCACAGACCCTAATGATCCCGACAATGTTGACATGCCCATGCCCGACGGCACACCCGACGTTGGATGGAAGGCCATGGGTAAAACTGCCATTGTTTTCCTTTTGTAGGATAGATAGCTGGTAGCTGTTACACAGATCTAAAGGAGAACACATTTGGCTAATACTAATAGGAAACGTTTTCTAGGTGTATTTGGCCAACTGATTCTCAACGGGCAATGTCCTTCCACCACTTGGGTCAAACTCGGAGCCACTGCTGCAGTCGGGGAGACTGTAATCACACTCGCTGAAGCTGTCGACTCGTCATGGCTCAATAAAGAGGTAAATGACTGTACTCTGTTTTTCATTCAACAGGTCTATGCTGCGTCTGATTATACATTAACTCATTTATAAAAGGCTGAGTATTACACTGTAGAATATTACTAATGAAGGAGCAGTCAGATTCACAACCGCTATTTTCTACAGGTAATAATCACTACAACCGGCAAGGAGGCTACCGAAACCGAGGTGCGGATGGTCACAGCCGTATCTGGCAACACTCTCACTCTTGATGCTGCTCTCATCTATGAACATTTAGGTAATGGAAGCTGTATACACCACTATATAAAGCTCTGTGCTCTTATGCATTCTGTACACTATTCACTTATCACCGAACAACCTCATTAGAGAACAAATTAGACAGAATCAACCAACACTGTACAGAATTACCAAGCTATTGCTATCTACATAAGTTTTTTGTTTATCAGTATGCTTTTCTATTTTCTCTTAGGCGAGACTCATACACTTTCTGATGGAACTCAATACGTAATGGCTGGTGAGGTTGGCCTTCTCACTCACAATATCGTCATCGAAGGCAGTGACTATGCAGGGCTGAATGCAGAAGGTTTTGGAGGTCGCATCCTCGTTTCCTCGTTGACTGCAGAAGGAGTGGATTATCAAGGTAAAGGAGCAAAAGACAGAATGGGACAAAGGCGAGGGCGAATCGTATGTCAATTGATAATTCACATTTTACAGGTGTTACGATGCATATCATGACCACATAAATTTATCCCTGTTTGTGATTTTTTATGTTAAACTTTACATTTGTTTGTCAACAGGAAGTGCTCAGCTCTCCTGTGTAGAATTTAAGAACATGGGTCAGAAGGACTTCTCAGAATCCACCGATCCAAGGTTCTCCTTAGCTTTCCATAGTCTGGGGACTGACGATGGTTCCAACTACGTGAAGAAGTGTAGCTTCAACAAGAATTTCAACAGTGCTATTGGGTTCTTCAGTTCAAACAACTTCGTTATTGAAAACAACGTCGTTTACTATACCGTAGGCTCTAGTGAGTATGGCCACATTTGAACATTCGAATGTGTATTAGTCTTGTGTAACTTGACTGCCAAGTTTGGCAAATAATATCTTCACTTAGCACCTCTTTGTCCACAGGCATCGTCGACGAGGGTGAGGACAACACCTTCCGCTACAACTTGGTATCTCTTTTGTTCTTCCCTGGTACATACAACGGCGAATCAGAAGATCAGTACCAGCCATGGGAAGGCGGATTCTACCTCAATAAAGCCTCTAGAACTGTACTACAGGGCAATGTTGTTGCTGGTAAGGATAGAATCAATTATCTGATCTCAGAACTGAGCAATAGTGGTACGCAATCATTTAGAATTCATATTGAGAAGGCTGATTATCGTTTCACTAATTTACAATTCCAATTTCTCTTTCATTCCACAAGGATCTGAGCTTGCTGGTTACCGTACCTATGGAGAGCTTTGTGAAGAGTCCACTAACTGGGTCGACAATGAAGTCCATGGTGCAACATATGGTGTTATGGTGAGTAAGAAGTAATGCTAGTGATGTTTAACTTTTGTCTTAATTATATGTGAATAACTACTGTGTTTACCTGGATCTTCCCATTTATGTTTCCATATATTTGCAGGTATGGAAAAAAGGAAACCCAGAACCTATGGATTGCAGAAGGATCAATAACTTTTATGCATGGAGAATCACCGATACAGCCTTCTACATGCAAACTTATGCAAGCATCCACCTAACAAACGTGAGTTTTTAAAATATGTTTCACAGTGAATCCATCCATCTGGAAACCATTGAAATGTAACTTAAAGAGACCATAAGTAACACGACTTAACTATAAGCAGCAGATAAAGAGAACATGGTAAGTGATTGAATTTCACTCATTTTCACCTCTTCTTCATGGTCTGTTACAGGTGGTTAGTGCTGACAACCTTATTGGAACAAACCAGCTCATTTACGCTCCACCTGCGTTGAGCCACATACTTTCAACGAAAACAGCAACTACAGATAACTCCTTGTTCATTGGAGCATCGCCGTCTTATGACTGTACTTACCACGACTCTCAATCTAATGCTCAGAGCTTCTTTGGGAATCTGTGGACAAAAGGCATTGATGGCGGAAATGCCGGAGTGATGCTGGCAACCTTTGTCTCAGGACTCAACAGTAAGTCTTTTCCTCAATAATTTACCACAGTTGTGATCAATGAAAACTTTTGATTTAGGTAAAATTTTCACTCTAAAATAGAAAACCAAGCAGTCGACTCTCTCTTGTATTTAATTTTTTTTTTTATTACAGTGGCTCCCAAACATGTATTTCACGAGGCATCCAGTTACCCAGCCATTAATGGAGCCACATACATCAGTAACGTCAAGTTCGCTAACTATGCCACTCGCTCTTGTGGCAAGGATGTTGCCATGATATCCAACAAAGACGCAGATGATGCTATCCACCCGGTCTTTGTTAGTGGCCTAACCTTCCTCGACACTTCGGAAAATAACAAACTCTTTCTATTCGAGTAAGTCCAAGTCCTTTCAGTTTTCATGCATACTTCAGGAAATAAACCTAATAATGGGAGTGATTCGAAAATGTCAATGACGGCATTAGAAATTATATCTCGAAGGAAAAACGTGAGTAATGATGGCTAACACTCAATTCCAACAGACCCAACCTTGGAAGAGTGAACCCTTCAGACTGTGTGGACATGGACTGCGATGGCCACAAAAAGGTTATAATTACTGACAATGACGGCACTTTCCTTGGTGAGTACACCTTTAAGCTTAGAGGGCCTTTAGAATTCCATGCCCTGTTATTCAAAAAACATAATGTTGCTCCCTAATTCTGGTAAAAAAACATTATTTCTACATCCCATTTGCACTTTCCTTCTGTAGATGTGTAGACCCATATCTAGACATTTTCCTCGTCAATATGGCATTTGATATGCAATTATTATTTCAACAGTATATTCCCTTTGAATCAGACCTCATGTCCTCTTCTTTCTGAAGGTGCTGCGGATGCCACTGCCACCTCGCAGGCCGAATTCGAGTGGGATGGAGATCCAAGTCGCGGAGTCGGGGATTACAGGATTCCAGTCTCTCTTCGTCAAAATTCCGATGGCAGTATCATTACAGCGGCGGAAAAGTACCCACAGAAAGGTGTGTAATTGTTTTCACCTAAAATTGATTCATAAAACTGAGATATCTATTTAGATTTTTTTAAAATATATTCATCACAAGCAGTGTGTTTGATCAGGTATCAGAATCAATCATCCTTCAATTCTTGGACAGGAATTATTCGTGATGACTCTTGCACTCTCATGACGGAGTGGCGAGCGTGGAAGTGCACGAATCTTAGGCATCGCATGATGGTCATTGAGAGCATGGATACAGACACAGAAATTCGTCGCTTGTCTCCCATTGGTCTTGTTGCAAACCCAGGTAAGATGATCCTAGTGCTCAGTCGTAATGACCTACCTCAATTAGTAATTAACAAGATTCCTACACTGATCTATATAGCTATACAGTAATGTTATTATTGCCAAACATTGGGAATTCCTTACACACCCAGGCGTGAACGGTTATGTGGACCTGCTGAATGGGCCGATGGATCGTGGATGGTGCTTCGGCTATACCTGTCAGGAGAGAATTTCCACTTTCTATGCTGTTGTGGCTACAGGACATACTTACGAAATGGCTATGACTAGTACTCCACCTCAGGTAAGTAAAGACAAGTATGACCTATTTTAATTACCGAGGGGAACATGTGCAAATATTCAAAAGCTTAGACGCTTATGATGTAGATGCCCTCTCCATTTTGGGAGACTAACTAGCAGGACACATTGTCACAGGTCATCCGATTCCACTTGCTCCACACGGATCCCAGCGAGGCCGTTCTTCTTCGCATGTACTTCCCGAAGATGCAAAGATTCGACATATCTGTTGACGGCATCTACGTCCCTCCAACCAACATTGACAATTCTCAATATCCAGCAAAGTACCAGCTTCTTCCCGAAAGCGATTCATTCTTCCCTTCCATCACTGATGTAAGTACCAAGTCATTTCATGTCTTGTATCACTTACCTTGCTCATCTCTCTTGGGATGACTTTTATTTTTTCACTCATTTGCTTATTTATTTATTTATTTTTATCTTTATTTGTTATCTTCCTTTTCCCTGTAGCTCTAAATTTCTTTCCTGCCTTTCTTGGTTCTTTTCTGTTGTGCTCACTGTTCAGACTTTCGCATGCTTGCTTTCTTTCTGGCACTGACTTTTTCCTTCGTAATTCTACCTTCTCTCACCCAGCCTGTAGGAACCAATTACCTGCAAAGAGAAGAAAAGCTCCTTCACATCGTCCTACGAGGCGGGTCTGTGATAGATATCACAACGACCCCCACAATAATCCTCTCCATGGGCATTGCGGTCGACCCTGACAATTTCTTCGAAGAGAACCTCGTGCAGAATTTGGCTCTCTTGCTAAATATCGCGCCGGAAAATATCAGAGTCACCAGCATCATCAGCGAGAGTTCAGGAAGGAGGAGGAAGAGGGGAGCTTCAGAGGTCGTCCAGGTAGAGGTAAGAATCAGCAGCAGACAGATAACTGGGCTTAATGGGGTTGGGAGAAGGGGATGAAACAGTATAGTATGGATATATATGGATGTGCGCAAGTGAATATCTAAGATGGTTCAGTAAAATGAATGAAGGTGGAGAGATTGATAAAGAGAGACAGAGACAGATAGACAGACAGAGAACAGGTACCCAAAATGTATCCGTGTCATCTTTTTCCAGTTTGAGATCGCAAGTCCACCGAACGATGCGTCCAATAGCACGAGCACCATCAATGGGACTGAGGCAGAAATTCTGACCCGTGAAGATTTGGAGGAGATCATGGTAGAAGCTGTGAACACCTTCCAGTCCGGTGTGTGTGAGGTTTGCAACTTCACCATAAAGACGCTGCTGGTAAATTTTCCGATTTCCATTTCCCATGCATATGAAACACAAAGAGAAGAAAGGCAGTTGTGAAATCTGGTTCAATGAATTGAGAAAAAAATAATGTTATTGCCTTGCAGGTCACCCCACCGTTAGATGAGCCCGAGGTGCCAACCGGCTATGCAACGCCAGAATTCGGTCAGCAAACAATAGAAAATGGAACTCTGTACAGCAACTTGCAACAGCAGGAAGACCTGTTGGCACTGAACCAGAGCATTGAGGGCACTACCTACGAACAGCCTAGTGCCTCTTCAATAGAACAAGCAGTTCCAATCAGAGTTAAAGCACTTACTCCATTTGCTGACCAACCCGTTGTCGTCGTCCTTTCAGATGAAGTACGAAATTCTCTTCTCTTCCGTTGGCCTTATCTTGACTCATTATTCAATATATCCAACACAGGTGTGATTACAAAACGGGGACGCACAGCCAGCTCAATCATTCGCTCGACTCTTCCTCAGGGCAATCCCATCACTGAGCTGGGCCGAGAGAGCGACCCCTGGATGATAACGGCCTTCCTCTCCGGCGGGGACTCGAGGGCAACCCTCTTGGGCACCACGACGGTACCCTACGAGGACGGGGCCGCGACCTTCAGGAACCTCGGCGTCAGCCTCCCGGGCCAGGGTTACAGCCTATCCTTCATGGTTACGAGTCCGGACTCGGCGCCAGACCTTTCTGTCTCCCTTAACCAGTCCTTTGTGTGAGTCGCTTTGTTGTTTGTTGTAAGGGACATATTCCCACAGACACTCATATATGGTATAATGAGTAATGAAACAGTCACAAAAGTGAATGCCATGATGTTTCAAATCCACTTAGCAAGAAATCATATATATATATGTGTGTGTGTGTCTGTATGTATATATATATGTGTGTATATATATATACATACATAAACACAGCCTATGTATATGCATGTCTTTGTGCGCGTGCATGCGTATGCATGTATATGTGTTTGTGTGTGTGCATGTATTTCTCAAAAATTTGCATGTCACGTTTGTATCTAATCAATCCTCTTTACAGGGTTGAACAAAAGACGATTAATATGAAGATTGAGGCTCCAGAATATATCGTACTCAACCAAGATTTCAGTCTCAACATTGTCCTTATTGATGCTGATACAGGGACTGTTATGGATAGTTCAATGCTTATAGTAAGTTGAAGAAGAAAAGACGTGTAAATGTAACATTTTAGGCATTTTCCGTTAATTTTTAATGTAAATGTCAGATTTTTTACTTAAGTTGTACATGTAAAGGCCATATATATTCCGTCCCCAACAAACAGGAAAATTAATGAATCTATGTACATCCTCAGGGTCAGAGAATTAATGGTGAAGTGAAGGCGAGCGAAGAGTCAAACCTCAGTGGCAGTACAATGTAAGCTGAGCGAGTATTATGTTCTGTTTAAGTCTTGCAATGACTCGATTTTAACTCTGGAATATGAATGGAAATTGGTCACTGATCGTTTCTCCCTTACAGCAAATAAATCAAACATGTTGGTTTCCATCTACTTCGGGAATTCCGTGTAGAAGTTTCGATGACCTTTTCTTTTTGTGCCATTGTTCTTTCTAGCTACTCTTGAAAGAGATGAGCCACCGTAAATCTGAGTAAATATATCTTGAGTAATAGTAAACAAAGGGAGGTTAAGGGGCAGTCTTTGACACAGGAAACTTAAAGATTATCCACTCGCTGAATTACTCCCGTCAACAAACGTTTTCTCCTCAGGTTCACTTTCGACGATGAGAACATGGTCAGCTTCTCGATTGACGGCCTTCGAGTGGGCACAGCGGTCGAGAATTTCCGTCTTTCCGTCAGTAGCCTGATTACACCAGTTGGCATTACCGTTGTTGGCTTAACGGACAGTACGTGGTTACTGTTTTTCGAGTCCTTATTATGTTTTTCTTCTCTCTATCTTAGCATTTTCTTCCCTCTTTCTAATTTCAGTCTCATTTTCTTTTTTCTTTCTATTTTTTTTTTCTCTCTCTCTCCCTAACTACTTACTACAGGTATGTGAAGTAGTGTAATAAGGAAGGGACCGAAGGAAATGTTAATGTGGTATATACAACTCCCTTTTATGTTTTACAGTCATACCAGTCATAGATTTCGAAATGCCCGAGGACGCCACGAAAGCAACAATTATGATGGGTGTCAAAGGCATCACTAGTGAAGAAGTGGAGAGTGACATAACCACGGTAAGTCTTCGAGAAATAAAGATGTCATGGGAAAAAAAATAGTTCATCATAGTCCAGGAAAGGAAAGTAAATTAAGAGAGAAAATTAGATGTCAGAAAAAAAGCAAAAAAGAAAGAAAATAAATATAAATGTATATATATACAAATATACATAATATATATACATATATACATAATATATATACATACATATATATATATATATATATATATATATATATATATATATATATATATATTTATGTATATATATACACACTTATTATGATCAAGTATCATTCCAGGAGAAATACCTAACCAAATCTTTTCTAATAACAGTTCGAGAATAAGGCCATGGCTGAGATCTCAAACATAGGAGACGTGTACTGGCATAACCCTGAACTGAAAACCGGCAGGAGGCTGATTTTCTCTGTGGATGTAAGAGAACCTTTTTCCTTAGAAAATAACTTTTATCTTAAACACACATAAACACAGGCACACACTTATATAGACACACAATTACAGTATATTAATGGTAAATATAGTGATAAGGAAACGAACAATAAAAAAATTATTTATTGAAAGTAATAGAAATGATAATGATTGTGATAATAGTAATAATATTTATAATGGTAATATAATAATAGCAGTAGTAATGATTAATAATCACAATAATTGTCATAATAATAATCCTAATGGCAATGATAATGCTAATGATAATGGTAATAATAATAATGATGATCATGAGAGTATCCTAAACATTATCATCATTATTACTATTATCATCATTATTACTATTATCATCATTATTATGACAATGTATAACAAATCAAATAATGATAATCATCATCAATAGTATTAAAAGTAATAGCAGTGGTAGATGTAATATTAGTTTTAATGGTATTAGCAGCGGTAACAGTTGTAGTGATGGTAGTACTAGTAGAGGCATTAAAGGTTGCAATAACTTGCAACTGAAACTTATTGATGTTAATGTTTTCGCCAGGCACTAGGCAGTCAGGTGGGGCTGAGCGCTGCCATCGAGATCCTCTGCATGAAACTGAGGACAAGGGAAATCAAATTCAAGATCAACGGGAGTACCGTCTGGTTAGAGAAGATGAAAGTGGACAATGGAAAGTGGTTTAAGTGTAAAGCGAGGCGCTTCATCGAGGTGAAACAATACGTGATCGCCTAAAGGATGTTTGGCAATAACAAGAAGCATAGTTGTGAAAAATACTGAATTTAATTTTCTACACGTGGTCCCTTTTTGTTTTTTTTTATGGTAAAAGTGATTTGATATCAAAATCTACAAAGCGTATTTTGAACGTATCTTCCATCATTTAAAGTTAGAGTTATCGATGTAATGGATGATAACTTTTAAGATATATTGCATCTTAATGTTGACGATTCATGCATTGCCATCCTAGTGTCCTTAGATTTTTTTTTTAATGTGTTAATGCAATAAACAAAACAATCAAGAATTTTAGATATTTCTTTGGCAATGTTCGTCGTGTATGAAATAAGAAATAAAATTTAGCTCCGTGCCTTTCCTTCGAGTATTTAACATTCCTACTGAGACACGCTAGAGCCACAGCGGTGGATTTATGGCCACATGACTACGGAGAAAGGAGAAAGACATCCCAGTGATAGGAGATTAAGAGACATATTTAGTGGAGTTATTAGAGTGGAGAGGGACAGGAGACAGCCGATCGTTAGGACAATTGATGATACGCATCCCTGGCGGCAAGTAAACGCAGACGACGTCAGCAGAGACTTCGCCAAAGAATAAAGGAGATTTGCACGCGTATTTAGATAATATAACTCAATGCTGTTTGTTACTAAATGAAGTGAAAGAGGCGATCTGATGAAAGAAATCGAGAAGGCTTCAGCTTTATACTGGATAAATAGATGAGAGACATAGAAATCATTATTATGGACTCCCGTAGCTCTGTATCTGAAAATATGCAGTTTAGATCATTTTTTTATTCACGTAATTTGCTTTCACCTTGTTCTGAATATTCTAGAATTAGAACTTCAAAGATGAAGATTAAAATCTTGATGTATCACATGCAAACCACTGTCTGTCTGGAATGGTGTAAAGCAATATAAATACACTGATAATCAGTAGCTATATACAGTACTTTTACAATCAGACAGTACTACTACTGCTATGATATTGTGGACAAGAGAGTGTGCGTGGATTTGTATGTGCACAAAGATGAGTTACACCCATGCATGTAAACAAACAGTCACACACATGGTTTATCGTATCACCTATGGTCAACTAAATCTATTCTGGAACAACGGTATCTGCTGGATCTTCTCAACAGAATCTTCAGGTATAGCTCAATGCCCACGCTCTGACTGTCTCGACCAATAATAGCCATTTTTACTTACTAGCTGCACTTGCAAACTAATAGTTGACTTCAGACTGAAAAGGTATAAAGGAACTGAAGCAAAAACTCTCTATCACTAAGGTCTTCGGCTTGATATTCAAACCAGCGCATATAGGCACTTTCATTAATCAGCTGGACAAGAAGGAAACAAAAGCATTCGTTATATTGAGTATTTTTTCTCTTTTTCTCTGCTTATGCGGCTTTGGTTTTACCATCCACACATCTAGAATAAAATAGACTATAGATATTAGGTATTATTCGTCGGTAAAATACAATAGATACAGGCAAGGCAGTATCCATCAGCAGATGACCATAACCATTATTTATTAGCAAAAGACTATAGATGGGAGGATTATTCGTCTCAAGAGACCATAGATATAGAAGCTAAAGGCTATAGATACAGACATTATCCATCTACGATACAGACGGTGGCCCCTTTTTCACAATGAAGCTTTCAGGATCCTCAGAGAGGTCAATGGATCTCATCTTCTATGAATTCCATAATCTCTCTACTCGTGGACTTTTCAACTCCTGGGTGAACAATCAGTCAGTCATTCGGAATGAGACTAAGGATCCTGCAGAGGAGAAAATCAAATCAGAGGTAAGTGTCAGAATCAAAGAAGAGTAAAGCAGAAGTCAAGAAAAAAAAAATGAAGCAGAGGTCAATGTAAAAGAAAATCAAAGGAGATCAGTATCAAAGAAAATCAAAGCAGGTCTGATTCAGTATCAAAGAAAATAGAATAGATCAAACAAGAGGTCAATAATAAATACAAGTAAACCCAAAGCAGAGGTCAAGAAGATATATGCAGAACATAGTTTTCAGTCTGGTGATTTACAATTCATTTTCTTCACAACCTCAGTCTTAACTGTACTATTTAGTCACATCAAATGCATCATATACTACTACAGTAAAACTACCATACCCGTGTCCAGGAATTCCATCGAAAGCTAGAAGAGGAAGTGTTTGTAGAATTCACAGAGCAAAATTTTATTTTTCTTCTCTCATTTACGGGGAGGGGGGGGGGGCGAAGAAAGTCACACTTTTTTCATATCTTAGTATTTCTAGTGGGATGAGTATTGTGATAAATTTGAGAATTTCTGAAAACAGTAATGAAGTAGTGTGACTTTCCTATTGCCCGTATGTGCGTGCAGGATGGGAAGATAACAACAATCATAATAATCACACCAGTGATAAGTACAGCCACCATCAGTAAAAATATTTACTCCAGGGCTGATTGTGGTCAGAGAGAGAATGATAGAGAATGCACCAACTGACAGTGTTGTCGCCCTCTCTCACGTGTATGTGTTATCGCAATATCAAAATATAACCATGATTCTGAATAATACTTCGATGTCTGTTAGAGGGAGAAATTGTATACCTCTCTCCTAAAGAGTGAAGCCAGTACAATTCGTCTGTTTTTGTTTGTTTTTTTTGTTTGTTTTTTTATTTGTTTTTGTTTTTTTCCTATTTCCATTGTCCTGTGTCAGGACTAAAACAATTAATGGATGTTGTTGAATAATGAGAAGTATATTGAATATGGAATGTCTGTGATGAACAAAAGAACTGGGCATGTAAACAGACTCGATTAAGATATAACATTCAACTTCTTGGAAGTATACCCAAGATAGATTTAAATCTCAAAGAGCGTTTCTGAGACGTCGCTTTCTTTTTCCAATACATAAATTATAGCAAAATTCAAATTACACAAATAAACGTTCAACTTTCCAAAAGAACGTAACTGTCGCTTGATATGGAAATCAAATCTTGGCTTGTTACTTTCTCAGTTTATTGTCTGAGGAAACAAAAGGGAAATATATCAAATATATATAATTTTGGTAATACAACTTTATTTCACACTCTTTACATTAAAAGCATCAAAATGTTTCTAGAATAAATTCATCTGTACATCCACCCACCCATATGAAACAAAATTTGTAACACCTCAAAAACTGTTTTCCTGTTAGCAAGTTGTCTACAGTATTTTTTCTCTCTTCTTCTGATATTCGGAACTTGTGTCTAATCAAAATAATTTGCCACATCCTTCCGAACATCACCAGCTGGAAGATCATTCTTATAGCATTTATGAAGTAATGACTATACACTGTGGTCTTGGGTTGAGGGTCTGATGGACAGTAGAACCTACAATATCAAGCATTTGTCTAAACCAGTGTGAAAAGGCAGACATGACGCGCCAGTCGAAAGTTAACTAAGGAATCTTTTTAAACATAATTTTACTTTAATTGTATAAGAGGCACAAGTGCAAGAGAGAAGGGAAATACCCAGAGAAAATTTTATCATACATGAATTTCAATATTTTTTATTGAAATCATATTTTCTAATAAGGAGAGGGTTAATGAAAACAATTATTGTATGTAAATAATTCCAGAGATAAAGTACGTGGTTAATTTCAGACCAGGAATCGATAAAAGGCAAAATTCCCCGGGTAAACATAGGTATTGGAAGAGCAAGGCATTAGTAACAGAGCATTCACGTCATTGCAACTTTTTTATATAAAACAAGCAAATTTGCATATTTAAATTCCCTTATAAGCTATATTTTTGTGACAGAATAGTGGAGTGAATGACGCTCAAGAAACAAAATTCATTTCCCTACGAAATTTGACCACATCAGACTTTTACGTATCAAAAATCAGATACGATCAGTCATGCCTTAGAATATATAACAAACAACACAGCAGTAATACTGAGACATATAACGCGTCACCTTTGGTTGAAAGTGCAACTGCGTTACTTAGTGAGACGTATTCTAACTCTCTACGAAACTAGAATACTGCTCACATATACAACCTCATTTCCTAATTTTCCTAGTAGCATCTCTTCTATGGTGGACTGAAATTTCATCACTGATAACATGAACTCCGGTGTCGATAAGAGTCGCAGAGAACGCAACGATCACCAGGGGAAACCAACTAAGCTAAAGTTTCGCTTAAATGGGTTAGGAAATCTTGAAGTCAACCAATGCTCTGTATAAACCAAAATAAACGGTAGATTTTGTGATATTCTTCCAACGTGACTGTCTTTTTTTCTGGAAACATTTGTTTTTACGTCACAACATCTAATACATAATAATGAGAATATATGATCTACAATTTTACCTAAAAGCAAACAATAAGCATAGGGAAAATTAGGTTTCAAGTAGCAAGACTAACAACATAATCAAAGAGGCAATCATACTTCAAATACTGCTAATATCCAATTAACAATTCTGTAATAAATCCTTCTAATTTCACCTAATATACTATCAGCGTGCCATGGAGGTTTCTTTCTGAAATTTTGTTGAAAATTGCTATTGTCAAAAAATTAGGATTAGACTATGTCGCAAATTGTAATTAAACCAATTTCAAACTCCATGGACATCATCTTGTGCTGAATGGCATATGCTACATGATCATTATCTTCCTTTTAGTGTGGTATGTTATATATATATATATATATATATATATATATATATATATATATATATATATATATATATATATATATATATATATATATATATATGAATATTACATGCATATATGTATATATAAATATATATACGTACATATATATATAAATATATATATATATATATATATATATATATATATATATATATATATATATATATATATATATATATATATTCATATATATATATATATATATATATATATATATATATATATATATATATATATATATATATATATATATATAATATATTTATACATATTGGTTCTTATGCATTGAAAATACACACCAATGAACAAATTTATCTTCTACATGTTCCGCTCACACTATGAAATACAGTCGAGTCATTCATGTAACAACTGCGTGTCTTCCCAGTGCTGCCAGATCCGTCCTGGTCGGGTCGTGTGGCGTGAGGCAGTCTACTTTTTCGTGATGGACTGTTTGCGTTCCTTCTCGAGCTGTTTCTTGAGGTCTTGTTCCAGTTGCTTGACTCTTGCTCTCGTCATCTCCACTCCTTCCTCGCAGCACTCCTTGTAGAACGGGAAGTTCTCCTGGACAAACATAGGGGCATACATGATATGTGTTGTCTTGGAAGGCACATACACACTCAAGCAAGACAAAAATATGTACATATGTATAACTTTATTACATAGTTTACATGTATAAAAACTCTCGTCATTATCTGTATTCATATTTGCATGTGTGTGTGTGTGTGTGTGTGTGTGTGTGTGTGTGTGTGTGTGTGTGTGTGTGTGTGTGTGTGTGTGTGTGTGTGTGTGTGTGCGTGTGCGTGTATCCTTATGTGAGCGTGCGTGTGTGTGTGTCCTTATGTGTGCGTGTGTGTATGTGTGTGTGTACGTGCGAACCTGCCTGTTCATGTGTCTGTGCGCCTAACTCACCTTCATCCTCTGGCTCCACCTGAGGACTTCGCCGTAGCACTTGTAGGAGTAGTCCATGGCGTCCAGTTCAGTGATGGACGCCAAGACGGAAATGTCAGCGATGGTATACCTCTCGCCGCACAGGTAAGGGACGCCGCCCGTCTCCAGGAAGGTGTCCAGGTAGTCCAAGCTAGTCTTCAGCAGGTTCTCCTTGTCGGGGTCTGGAGGTAATCCCTGGTGCATTTTGGGGGCCTGGAAGAGGGTTCTTCGTCATTAAACTGCTCTAGCAAGTACGTGCAGTTATGATGCTATTATGCCATAGAATCAATTTGCTTATCCACGTATCTGTCTGTTTATTCATTTATACATTGTATATATACTACACACACATGGAAATATAAGAATGTTACATATTTTGAAAATGACTTTTAACTTGTTAGGTAACTAGGTATTTAAAATGATATATATGCACACCCATTTATATATATATATATATATATATATATATATATATATATATATATATATATATATATATACATATATATATATATATATATATATATATATATATATATATATATATATATGTATATATATATATATATATATATATATATATATATATATATATATATATATATATATATATAATTTATGTGTATATATATGCGCACAAACACACGCACAAACATACACACTGCAAGTAAAACAACGAAGTGAAGTACAGGTGTGTTTTCCTGTACTTCCATTCGCTGTTCTCTTTGCAATTTGTTCGACATGAATTCATACGTACATACGCACCCACACACACACACACACACACACACACAAATATATATAAACACAGGTTTATAACTGTAGTGAACGAGTCAGTAAATATTTCTTTTCGGTAAATTAATTCTTTATCAAACATTCCATGCAATGTGTCCCTCTACAGTAATATCGTATTGGAATTTTGTGTTCTATTGCTTTTAATATTTCAACAGACATTTTTTCACAACTTAACGTGAAATTACAAAGGATTAAACTGATTTAACCCACAGTGAAAATTATGTTATACAAGAAAAAAACAATAATGAATAATAAATAACAAACTGACCAAGCTAGAGTAAAAAGCTTGAAAGAAAAAAAGAGAGAGAAAAATGAAAAAAATGAAGAAAATGGAGGAATGAAAGGGAAAAAAATAAAGTAAAGGAGAAGCAAAGAAAAAAGGGAGAAAAAATAAGAAGAAAGAAACGAAAACGAAAAAGAAAGAAAGAAAAAAAGAAAAGAGAGAGAGAAATAGAGAGAGCAATATAGAAAAAGAAGAAAAAAGAAACCGTCACTCACGAAGTACTCCTTGATAGCGTGGTACAGCGTCCCCATGTCGAAGAAGAGCATTCGGTCCACCCGTGCTCTCTCCTCCGGGTCGGTTGGATACAAGTACTGCGTTTCCTCCGTGACGTATTTGTTCATCACGTACATCATGATGGCGCGGCTGTCGGTAAAATACGGGGTAATTAATTGGACTGCAAGGGAAAAGATTTGTAACGGAAGCATAAATATCAAAACGTTACAGATAACAGTGAAAGGAAAATGCAGGATAAATGGTGATACATGAAACGCGATCATGACTGTAATGAAATTATTATGAATAGCAAGGGGAAATGCAGTGGAGGGAAGAGTAACGGTGAAAACATAAAAAATCCAACATTTCAAAACACAGTTAAATCAAAATGCCGGATGGTGATAATGAAAACGCAATCATGTTTGTAATGAAATGGTTGGGAGAAAAATAACAATGAAAACAATAAAGGATAAAATGGCGGATAACAATAACAGGGAAAAAGATGGATGATGATAACAAACGTCCATGATTATAGTAAAATAATGGGGGAAAGAGTGATAATATTAAAAAAAAACATAATGAGAACAACAACGCAGATAATAGTGATATTATGGAAATAAGAAAAAGAAAACGGTTACAGTAAACTTCACGGTCCAAGGAAAATGGGTCAGCTCCATTCCGCATTCGCTTTCCTTGGAGATTCCAATGTAGGTTAATTTTTTCCCTCTCTCTCTATGTCATTGTTATTAATTATTTTAGTTAAACATATATTAGTGCTTTCCGTTGCGGACTTTGTGTAAGGACAATTCATAACTGCGACTGTATGTAGTCAACTGATGGTAATAACTATTATAACATTAGTATAAATATTCCTACTGATGGTAATAATAATGATCGTAATTATTATTACTATTATTGTCATTACCAATACCATTATTATCATTATTAGTAGTAGTGGTAACATTAATAATATTATTACCATCATCCTTATAATTTTCAATCTATTATGATCATCATTATAGTACTAGTAATAATGTACGATAATGGTAACAGTATTACCAATATCGATCATAATAATAACCACAGTAACAGCACCAATAACAAAACAACGAGCATCCCTTCACAAAAACACGAACTTCAATTGTTTAAACTCGGAGAATTTTATGTGAACTTTTAGTTATCAACGGGAGGTAAACAACTTATTTTCCACGAAATAAATGTTAGTGTGCAATACTAAACTGAAGATAAAAGCGCATTTATATCTGAGTTTCGCAGCCTCCACACGTTCTGCTTGGATGACTTTGGTCACAATGGCTTGTCTGTGTTTTTTTTTTCTCCTTTGTTTTTCATTTACTTTATTTTTGTTGGCTAGTGTTGTTGTTTTTTTTTCCTTATTTCTCTCTTTTCTTTCCAGATCTATATCGAAAACAGATCTATTTCTAAGTCCTTCCTCCTCTTTCTTTTCCCACAGCAACCGCTTCCACACCACATCCACCCGCAACCCAAATCTCGCTCCATTCATCCACCTCCCCCCCCTCCACCTTCCCCCCTCCCGCCGACGTCTCACGCCCCTCTTCACAGCAGGTAACCCCGCCTCCTCCGCTCCTCAGTCGGCTCCCCCCCCCCCTCCCCCTTGCTCTCACGATCCCCCGGCCGGCGTGCTCATTTCGCCTCTATGCTAATTACCTCATTAATTATTCATTCCGCCATAAGTTCCCGTCCGAAGTGCGAGCGGCCGCCCAGGTGGGCCACGCCGCGCCGTCGGAGGGGCTGGCGGGGCGAGGCAGTGGCGAAGGTGTGATGGCCTGTTGCGAACCCTGGCAAACGGCGCCCTTCATCGTGTGACGTCACTGAGTGCGAACGCAACGTCGCCTGAATGGACGAGACTAATCGACTGTCCGAATTTATTCCCGCTGCCTAACCTGATTACGGTTGGTTTCTTTCCTAAATGTGGCTCGAAGGAGAGAGAGAGAGAGAGAGAGAGAGAGAGAGAGAGAGAGAGAGAGAAGAGAAGAAGAAGAGAGAGAGAGAGAGAGAGAGAGAGAGAGAGAGAGAGAGAGAGAGAGAGAGAGAGAGAGAGAGAGAGAGAGAGAGAGAGAGAGAGAGAGAGAAGAAGAGAGAGAGAGAGAGAAGAAGAGAGAGAGAGAGAGAGAGAGAGAGAGAGAGAGAGAGAGAGAGAGAGAGAGAGAGAGAGAGAGAGAGAGAGAGAGAGAGAGAGAGAGAGAGCACAAAATACAAAGCAACAAATGTTTCCTGCTGACACACAACCGCTACACAACGAATCACAAATAACCAACACACAGGAGAAGAAACAGCCACAATGTGACAGCGTCTAAAGGAACACAAATTCTCTTGCAAACACGATGACCACGAACGAAAAATTCTCAAATGACACGTTGTCGACTGGCGGTCACCTCTTACCGCAAAGCTGCCAGCTGGACGTGTCATGAACCTTGGATGCAGAGCCATGTATTTGTATTCGACACAGAGACAAACGCGTTCCAATACTGCCTGACAACTCGGCCGCTCCACTTCATCTTTGGAATTTGCCATCCAGGGGACACGTGGCCTATGGTCGCCTAAGGTATTGTCCTTTAACGGTTACATTAGATTAATTTGTTGATATAACATATAATGGGCATTAAGCATATTTTGATTTGAATTACGATTTTCTATTTTGCATTCAAAACAACACATGAATGGATAAAAACTTTGAATCCTATATTCACATACCTAGCATTTAACATTTATATTTTCACATTATAATCGTTTTTTTTTCATAAATTAACTTGAGTTTTTTCTTAATCTTTAGCATGTTTTATGCTCTTCTTTACATTTATTCCCTACTAATATGTCACCTATCATTTCTAATATTTTTCTTTGCTCTTCTGGCTTTTGACTTGTCTTTTCTGAATCACAAGGAACTTATTGCGGGGAAACGGTAGGGGGGAATAAGAAAAAGCTTGGGGCACATCTTTGCTTCACGGTAAAGAGATTCGTCCCTGTTTTTTGCAGTTTAGTACCAAGCAGAAAAGTATCCCGCCAAGAGTAATAACTGTATTACGATAAACAACCAAGGAAAGAACGTGATGAATGCAAAACAAAAATGTCGTTTGGCCTTAAAAATAATACACAAACCCATCCAAATTGGGAGAAAATAAGAAAAAAAGGTAAAAACAAAAGGCAAAATAGAGAGAAAAAATGTGCATCAAAAGAATAGTCCAAAAAGTATAGGTACATCTGCTTCAAAATATCCAGGCCTTTCAAAAAAATCCACACACATCAAGTCCTCGTTGTTTACTGTCCCAGGAAATCTATCTCTTTCTCTCTACTGCCGTCCTTCACATAAAATATCCGGCAGCAAAGCAGAAAAAGACAGATCCACAGGCAGACTGCGATGAAGGAGTTTCCATGGTGTGATGAAGGGCTTAGTCGATGGTTCTTTTTTCTACGTTGCAGATTCGTTTTTCGTTTGTTTGCTTTTACAGAAGACTTTCGTTTTACTTTTCCTCTTCGGTAGTTTTTCTTCTTTTTTCCAGAGACCTCATGTGAACTTGGAAAGTGCTACTGGTAAAAGAATATAGACAATTGTCTAACCTAGCTGCTCCTTCTGCTAGAAAGATTAAAGTGAAAAATACAGACTTCCAAACAAATATACTAATAACTTGAACATTCTGACAAACACCCGACGACGTATACATATGATCTTTCCCCTTAAGCACACAACAGAAAAATCAAGCATAGCCTTTAATAAAAACGATGTAAAAAAAAAAAAACATAATAACGAACAAGTGAATCACACAAGTAGATGCTCCAGCAACCACTCTTAGACCACCTATCACCACCGGGAACCATGTCACTTGAGGCGAAAATTCTAAAGCGTCTAACGAAGAAACCGACCATACCGCTCGCCGTTTTGTCTTTCACATGATCAATGTCCACCTGTCATCTTGCTGGACATTAATCACGGCTACAGGTCCAGCATCTCCATAATCTACCCCGGTATCCCGTCCGTTGCACTGAATATAGAAATTAGGGAGATAATTGCTTCCCTAATACCTATCTCCAGCTACTCATATTCGCCACACTCGGCTTGGTGTGTGATCGCGTAGTTAGCCTCATTTCGTATTTTGATGATGATTTCCTATTACCAATTAGAAGACCCATCGCTGATAGGACTAAGACTGATGACTTCGATTCCACATTCTTAAGTGGCTTTCCAAGTCGGTAAAGAGCCAGACCAAGTGGGTTGTTTCCATTTATGGGTAAATACGAAGAAAGAACAAATAAAAAAAATAGCAGTAATAAAGAAATGGTCAAGCTATAATAAAGTGACCATGACCAAGGTAGAAAGAGAGAGAGAGAGAGAGAGAGAGAGAGAGAGAGAGAGAGAGAGAGAGAGAGAGAGAGAGAGAGAGAGAGAGAAGAAGAAGAAGAAGAAAAGAAAAGAGCGCCGCGCCACCAGCCCGACGCCGGTTCTGGTTGGGCCGCGTCCGCCCTCCTCCGGCGCCGCGCTCGAAATAATTAAGCGGCCCTGATGGCTCGCCCGCGGCCATATGGATTGACTTTCATGAAAATTCATACCTGGAGTCGTGCGGGTATCGTACATTCGCCCGTAAATTGACCCTTATTTTTACCCATTAGCATTTTCGACGACGCGGTTGCCTGGAAAGGTCGAAGCTTCTTGACCTCGGAGGGAAAGCGAATGGAAGGAGGGTCAAAAGGAGTCGCAAGGAGAGGGAGAAATGGGGACGGAAAGGGAAGAGAAAATGGCAACGATAATAGAAGTGGTCAGGGAAATAGGCAAAAAGAATAAATATATGCTTAGAGATGAGGAAAAGGGGAAGTGAGAGAGTGGTGAAGAGTTGGTAAATACAAGTGAAAGATGAAACAAGGACAGAGAGAAAGGAAGACGAAAGAAGAAAGGGAGAAAGGTTAAGAGGTACACACACAAGAGGTGTCAAAAAAGATGGAGAGGGCGCCGTCAATAACTCATTTCTCATCCATCCTTTCTCCGACGTAGAAATTTTAAGACCTTTGACCTCCTGTCCCTCCTACCTAGCCGCAGGTAGGCCTAGGAGGGCCAGAGAGAGAAGGTGGCAGGAGGGGGAGGGGGAGGAGGAGAGGGCTATCAGTCACGACGGCGAGAG